TTACATATAGGCCCTTTTCAAGATATATGCTTGGGTGGTGTTATTGGAATATCTTCATGTGTCTCACATCAATACCCATCTATATGGGTCACTGGAAAAGTTTCATGAAGTTTGGAATCAAAAAGTCACCTGAAATGATAAGTTATATCCTTGTTGGAATAATGGCCTTATTAAGTGAATGAGAACATGTGTCATCAACCAAACCTTGCAACCTTGCCCAAATGACTCTAGACGAACTCTACAACAAAAGTCATGAAAGGTTCATGTTGAGCAAATGCCAAGAAAATGCTCCAATGGATCACAAAGGATAATTTAAGCTTTATCATAATCCTACTTTGGTCAAAGTAGAACTATAGCTTCTGTACCTGTTTTGAAGTTGGACATTAAATAAAAGTTGAAGCTCATGTTATGTAGAAGAAACTTTGGTTAAGAGTCGAGAGCTAGTTTGGTCCATAACCTAGTCAAACAGAGCTCACAAGATTCAATGTAGTGCTGTTTTGGAGCCCAAGATTTTGCCTAAGTCCTAACTGACGTTTTTGTTCGGGTACCCTAGTTTGGAGCTTTGTGTCTTCCTAATCTGGCCGAACCAGTCTAAGAACCTTTAATGAAAGTTGTTGCTTGGTTCGCGCACAACAAACTTTGTTTTTGGAGTATACCATGGATCGGCTCGGAACCAAGTCTAGCAGTGGCTCAAAGTTGGAACATGTTGCTGATTTCAGCACTTAGAATTCTAAGTCTAGAAATTCATCGACATCGGCATTGGCATCTCGCATTCTCCGAAATTCGTTAAGCATCTCAAGTTGACCCAAAAGTGAAAGTTGGAGTTTACATCTTGGTGAAGAGCATACAAAAGTTGGGTTTAGTTTGACCGGGTTTTGACCTTCGAAAGCGAGTTTTCGTGATCACCGTTGTTGTGTTGGCACTGCTGTCTTGGCAACTATTTTACCGCTAATCCATTGCTCTAATGACCTAAGTGCCTTAATAGAAAATGTAGAGCGGGTCGAGGTGAGAAAACTTTGTTTTAGGCCCAGTAACTAATTCGGCCTGTAGCCAGCCCGAACTGACGCCCACTCTGCCCACTTCTACGCGCACACATGTTCGACGATATGCCGACGTGGCCTTCTTGCATGGACGCCGCGCACCCTCTCCATCGCCACGCGCCGCTCGGCCCCCTGCACCCCAAATGCGGATGCCTGAGCCTCCTCTGCTCACTCGCCACTCTCCATTCGCCTCCTGCCTGCCTTCTCTCGCTCTCGCCGCGCAGAGTGCAGGCGTCGCCGCCATGGCCGGTCGTGCCAGCTCCATGGCCGCCGTTGTTCCTTCATCTCCAGCCTCCCTCCACCCAAATAGACCGCAGAACCACCTCCCTCACCTCGCTACGCAACTCCCGCACCCCTCGCCTGAAGCCACTCGTCGCCGACGCGCCCTCACCGCGGAGCCGCTCGGCCTAAGCCGCCAGCGCACGTGGCTGGGGCTCCACGCTCCACCTCAGGCCACTTCCCCCGGCAAACGGCGAGCCTCCTCCGGCCGACAAACGGTGAGCTCCTGCGCAGCCCCTTCAAAAATCGTGATCAGGGACCTCGGCTTCGAATTCAAGAATAGGGAGGGGCCTTTCTGTGAACCGCAGACTCATGTGAATAGTGCCTTTTGGACCTGTTTGCTTTGAAATTGGCTGAACTTTGATAATTCGTACAAAATCATAGAAAAATCATAAAATAACAAAAGGGGACTTTTTGGAATCCTTGTGAAATTTCCTATGCAATAGATCTATAATATGGCATGTTTTAGTTTAAAGTTTTAGCTGTAAAAATGGATTTGTGCAGATAGGGTTTTAATGCTAGTTGTATTTGTCCTTTTTCATAACTACAGATGTAGGGCTCCAAATGAAGTGAAATTTTTATGGCACGCTACTTATGTGAAGTTTGATATGTGATAAAAATTTCATGGTCATTGGTTGTTGTATTAGTGAGTTATTGGTTTATCTTGCTCTCACATGATTTCTTGCATTAGCATTTGGTATTTTTCCATAGAGGTTGCTATACGTGTTCAAATGGCCTAAAATTTGTACAGTAGTCTATTGATAGTACGTGGAAGCTACTGTAATTTTTGTAGATTTTACTGTACACTTTTGTTATATGTTCTTTAATTCTACTTATTATTCAGATAAATTAAGAAATGTATTGAAAGAATCTATTTGGTGGTGGACACTATGTTTTCTGGTGTTCATTTGATATATGGAACATGTTGGTGGCAATTGTTTTGCCCAGGTGCATGTTTGAAACATGAGTTAATAATTATTTTCTTGCAATTGTTGTTTCGGGACAGTTTTTGGAACTGTTTGGATTACATCATGATAATGATGTTTTCTGGGAAACTTGTTAATAACAAAGTTGTAGATAATTCATGTATCTAGCTTCTGTTAAAATTTGGTGGTATTTGGCCTTATGGTTTGTGAGTTATGCATGTTTAAAGTTGGGTTTCAGAAATGGCTGCTCTCTGTCAATTGTGGACCAGTTTCTGTAAATTGGTATATTTGACTTAGTTAACTTGAGAATCATGCTAAGATGTTTAAAGATGAATTGTAGAAAATTTCATAAGCTTTCCAGAATGTCTTGTTGCATGGCTATTGGATTTGTATAACTCTAGTTATGATCCAAACATGAAGCTGTTGTTTCCAGTCCAAAAATAGACATATGCTAGTTGTGGTTGTTTACTCCATGTGTTGCTAAGTGTGGCTTATGCCCTTGTTGATGGTCAAGTTATGATACTTGTGACCTTGTTAAACTTGTGTGATGCTTGATGTGCTTGCTCTCTATAGTTAGTTGTGTGATGTTAGTTAAATAGCTATTGGTGTCTATGTCTTGCATAATCTTGTGTTTGTCTTGAATGCTTATGTGATGCATCTTGTGTTACCATTCATCACATTCATACACATGCATCTTGCATCTCATTTAGGTACGCTAGATGAACCACGTGAAGGATGTGATGTGGAGCCGAACTCGAAGATTGGGTTTGGTGGATCTATCCTGAAGATGGAAGGACTAAGCAAGTGCTAGAACCGGAGATGTCACCAAGACGGTGCAAGCTAACTGAACTGACTTGTGTCGGATCCCAGGCAAGCCCCGGAGCATTCTAAGCCTCCTACTTTATGAAAGCAAATGAGTATATATATGTTGCTATATATATTGTTGCATTAAGTGGTAGGAGTTGGTTGGAACCCTTGTTGCATATTATCATTTCCTTGTCCAGAAAGTATACCTTGAATCCCTATTAGTCAGGATCGAGTCAATGCTTAGCCCTGCTTAGACCGATAGAAGTCGGGTGATTTCCTGTCACCTGCGAGATATAGGCGGTTACCTGGATACTTAGCTATGGATACTATCATGGAAATAACCAAGTGTTGATGGATAAATGGAGACCGGGCAGAATAACTAGTGGGCAACCAGACAGGGTTCTGGGGTGCTTATAGTTCCCGCCTATGTCGGTTAAGGACCGATCATTGCTCGTCCCTCAAGTCATGTTGAACACATGTCTCGCATTTAGCTGGCCGAATAAGTCGTTTTGACCGCAAAGCCAGTGGCACTATTCGGGCCGGGATCTACACGAGTGCACGTATTGGTGCTGATGGGGGTATGACAGGGGTGCGAAGAGTGAGCCCAAGGGTAGGCAAGGCCTGATTCCTGGCAGTCGGGCGGTCCCTGGGTATTGCGGCTCCAGTTTGTCCCACGACGTTTACCGGAATAGTGTCATCAGTGACCTGTAGCTCACTTGATCAGTGAGTGTGGTTTGTGTGAGGAATACATCACCAGCTGGTTAGGAATCGATTTGAATCGCCATCGCTCCTGGATAGTGAGCACTTGACTTGAGTTACGGCATCGTAGTAATGATGATGGAACATGGATGGTTAGGTGGTTTATGTTGGAAATGCTATACCTAAGATGGTAACTTTGATGTTAATGGTTAATCAAGTGATTGCTTAGCATAGGTGCTTACCTAGATTAACAGGTTATAACAAAGATGACGTAAAAGTACTTAAAATGGTTTATTCATGATAACTTATGCTTTTTGCAAATGAATCAAGCTAGCCCCCTAAAAGAAAGCTTTGCATACTCCTTGGTATCACTTTATTTCCGTTTAAGACGGGTAAGTCTAGTTGAGTACATTCTCGTACTCAGGGTTTATTCCCACTTTGTTGCAGGTTGTGATGTGTCATGGCTACTGCAAGAATTGAATGACTCCTGCCGTAGTGGCGGAGTAAGATCATGGGCATGATTCTTCTCAGTTATCTTGTCTATGATGCTCTTGTTGGACTTGACTTTGGTACTGGCATGTATTTGAAATATGGGTGATGTTAGTTTCAAATTACTTTGCTTCCGCTACTTTTAAACTTGAGTTGTAATAACTCTGTTGACCTCCGATATATGTTGAGCTACTTGTGAAAAGGATGTAACATGTGACTTGTTATGTTGAATCACTACAATCTTGGCCTGTATGTTGGTTGGTTTGAAATCCCTCGTGATTTCGTTGGACTACCGGAGTTATATGGGTTCAAGTATGAAAATTTGATCACTTCGGTGATTGTTTTTATAATTGTGCTCTTATAATTTGGGCAGTTCCGTGACAATTAGCCTGGTCATCCTTCTGCGACACCATCAAGGATGGCCTACTCTTCGGCGCAGCAACATCGAAGCCACCAGCGCCAACTGCTCCCATGTCCATCTGGGCAACTGCTGCTCCTATGCCCATCTGGCCAGCTGCTGCCCCCATGCCCATCTGGCCAGCTGCAGCTCCATGCCCATCTGGTGGTAGAAGTTCATCTGCGGTGGTGCGACTATTGGATTGCCGAATAGGGCGTCGTTGATCTAGAGCCCGCCAGTGCCACCGATACCTGCCATAGGCGGCATCCCCGCACCGGTGTTGGGGTAGTAGGGGGGCACCGAGTCCATGGCGAAGTCTGGCAGGATGGGAAATTGCATGGGCATGGGCACGGGTAGCGTTAGCTATAGTGGCATGGGGATGGCCAGGATGTTGTTCTGATTCTGATCAATATCAGCACCATCCATGGCCACCTGATATGTCGGTGCAGTCGTCTTCTTCATCCCAGTGGTCTTTTCAAACACACGACAGACCACCCACTCATCCTGCGTGAATTTCATTTATAAACTAGGAGCAAAATCAGATGAGCGTAAGCAAATAAAGCAAGTAGCATATGGATCCATGCATCATGCCGGTGTTGTCACCACTACCACGCACCTTGAAAACAGAAGCTGAAGCTTTAATGGCTGTCGCACCGTTGGTGGCTGAGTTGGATGCGGATGCGGGGCTAGGGAGCCTGCCGCTGCTGTCAAGCCTATACTCATGCATCACCCAGTTGGTTTTATCGCCCCTAGGAGCCCTGCCCTTGTAGAAGACAAGCGTCTTCTTCATGCCGACCACCACCACCACCCCTTCTATGGTATTGTAGACCTCCTTGTCTCTGCCTGTTGCTTTCCAATAACCAGCCTTTGTGGCTCGGTTTGCCCTCAACCCCATCGAGTACTTGTGGTCCTTTTGGTAGAAGAAGTACCACTCTTTCTTGCCCCATTTTGCTTTAACTGCAGCAAGCGAATCAAGCGCCGTATGTTACTCGATCACCAGCATAGCAGCATGCACATCCACTATGCAGATCAAACAAGAACAAGGCGTATATGTATGTAAAGATCAAGGATGCTTATTACATACTCGGGAGGTTCCATGGCTCGGTCTTGTTTAGGTCTACCTCTTCAAAGGCGGTGTAGGTGAAGTCTGTGTTGCGCACCTTGTTTGTCAGGTAGTGGCTAACAATCTCATAGTCACTCGGGTGGAACTGGAACCCTGGAGGCAGGTCAAGGCCACCGGCATGGACCGCGTTCATCTCCTCCTGCTGGGGCTACTGCTGGTCCGCCATGGTTCTCTTGCTCCTCAACTGTGATCAGATCTAGGAAGCACCAACAACCATATCAAGCAATAAGGAACAATCTCCATATAGTACTAAAAAACAAAGTATACAAAAAAATTGGACCTACGAGGGTATGACCACCCCCATGCATTGCATTAAGAAGAAGACCTTCTCACGCAGGCCTAGAAAACCCCTGAAGCCCTGCCCCACCTTTACACAGTGGCACCGTCGCCCTGTGAGAACAGGCTGATCCTTAGACCTGTGCTTTGGCGTGGGACAGACGAAGGGATTTTTTTAACCCCAGCCTAAAATTCGCTGCCACAGGGAGTCGAACCCAGGACCTGAGGAGTGCCGCCGGCACGCTCTAACCAGTTGGACTAGAGGCCCTTTGGCAAAACAAAGTATACATACATGCACAAACTCTTCTTGACCTATCGGTCAGTCTAGGTCTTGCTCGCTCTCCAAGACGGATGCAGGATGAGTTGTTGTGGTGCACTGAGCCGGGCATTGCAGCGTGGCTTAAATAGGCAGGAGGCGTGATCGCACGAGCCACTTTCTGCGTGAAGCTTCCTGCCTCTGCCCATCTCCCATCTTTTCTGGTGGTTGCTGTTTCTACTAGTGTAAGGTCGAGATGGTGACTAGAGGGGGGTGAATAGTCATTTCTAAATTTAATCGCGTTGGCTAACCGAAATAAATGCGGAATTAAAATAATTCGGTCTAGCTAAGACCACCCCTCTATCAAAGTTCACAAGCACCTTATAAAGATCCTAGTTAGACAACAAAGGTGTCGGGCTAGCTAGAGCTCACATATCCAATTCTAGGAGCAAGGTCACACAAACCTATGCCACTAGTATTTCAAGCAACGAGGAAGCTCCTACACATACTAGTAAGCAAAAAGCACAAAGCCACCTAAGCTCACTAGCAATGCTCAATAATAAGGCAACCAATGCCAAATTAGAGAGCGCAAATACTTAGCTACACAAACTAAGTAATGTGACTAACAAGGTTACACAAACCAAATTAGCTACGCAAGGGAGCTACTTCTATGCTACACAAGCAAGAAGGTAACTAGTGAGCTACACAAGCTAACTAATTACAAGAGCAACTACACAAGCACAATGTATATGAAAGTAATCACTAGCTTGTGAAAGGGCATTGCAAACCAACGGAAAGAACAAAGTTGACATGATGATTTTTCTACCAAGGTTCACGTGCTTGCCAACACGCTAGTCCTCGTTGTGTCGACTGCTCACTTGGTGGTTCGGCGGCTAATTGACATCACCCGCCAAGCCCGCACGTCGGGCACCACAAGAACCTACCCCGAAAGTGAGGGTAGCTCAATGACACGCTCAAATAGAGTTGCTCTTCGTGGCTCCGACGGGGCGAGCACAATGCCCCTCACAAAGCTCTTCTCTGGAGCACCGCACAAGCTTCTTGCGGGCTTCGACGGAGACCACCACCAACCCATCTAGGAGGTGGCAGCCTCCAAGAGTAACAAGCACCACCAGTTTGCAACTCGATCACCTAGTGCCACTCAATGCAACCTCACGATGCAATCGCACTAGAATCGCTATCTCACACAATCGGATGATCACTATCAAGCATATGTGAGATGGAGGGCTCCTAAGCACTCTCAAGCATGGACACAAAATCCCCCAAGGTGCTCAACTCCAGCCATGGCCGAGACCACCTTCTATTTATAGCCCCTACGAAAATAGAGTCGTTGTACCCCTTCATTGGGCACAGCTCGGGGTGACCGGACGCTCCAATCAGATCGATCGAACGCACTCTACCAGCGTCCGGTCAACGGATGGCTCCCACATCATCCCTGGCTTCAAATATTGAGCGCCTAAACTCAATGGTTAAGTTGCGACTGGATGCAGCACAGTGTATGACCGGACGCAGGACCCCAGCGTCTGGTCACTTTTAGTAAGGTTCCACTCGTGACCGGACGATTCCGGTCACCCTTGACCGGACTCGCCCAGCATCCGATCAATCACTGTCTCCTCTGTGCGCCGCCACACCAGCACGACCGGACGCACCCAGCCAGCGTCCGGTCACTTTCAATGCCAGCGTCCGATCGAAGACCGACGCCTGTGCATTCTCTGATGCCACTGATCGGACGCAGGACCCCAGCGTCCAGTGCACTCAATGAAGCCATGTCTTTTCTGTACACTCCGCCGGTGAAGTTTCAAACCCTTCTCGCCTCCGTTTCATCACCGAGTTGATCCACATCAACTCTAACTTCATCTCCTTTGTAAATGTGTCAACACCACCAAGTGTACACCACCATGTGTATGTGTGTTAGCTTTTCACAATCATTTTCCAAAGGATTAGCCACTCAACTTGCCACGCCACTCGATCCTAGCAACGATGCAAAGTTAGATCACTCGAGTGGCACTAGATAACCGATATGCAAACAAGTTTGCCCCTCTTGATAGTGCGGCCATCTATCCTAAACCCGGTCATCAACTTCTCTACACACCTATGACCGGTGCAATGAAATGCCCTAGGTTATACCTTTGCCTTGCGCATTCCATTCCATCTCTTCCAATATCGATGCAACATATGCACCAACACGATCAACAATAATATGATCAACTTCATATCATCATGTGATTATATTGGTTCATCGATCTTGACTTCACTTGCTTTTCACTATTGCCTTCGTCCATCGGCGCCAAGTCTTGCTCAAGCTTCATCGCCACGTGGTCCATCGCTCCAAAGCCTCCGACTTGTCCTTCACGCTTGCAACCGGTCCATCAAGTCAAGTTATGTCTTGATCTTCTCCACCTTGATCACAAGACTCAATGTTATGTCTCATGTGCAATGAGCTCCTTCATCATCACATGTGTGAGCTTTGCAACATCTTTGATCCATTTCCACCTTCATGGCATATGTTGCTCATACACATATACCTGTGGACTAATAACCTGTGTATCTCACATAAACACAATTAGTCCACCTAGATTTAGATTGTCACTCAATTACCAAAACTACACAAGGACCTTTCAACTGGGCATTGGACTATTGTTCTTTCCAACCATGTAGTGCTTGTCCTCGTACGTGCACCCGGCCCGCCTTCGCCCTGACTGGGGCCTCGGTAGGGCCTCGCTTTCCGCCTCTCTGCGCATGCGGCGTGCAGCCCTCTTGTGACCTCCCACCGATTTGCTTGCGATTCCTGTGGGCGTGTCGTCCACGCCCACTACTATAGGATGGCCTTGTTGTCCCAGTGGAACGGCCTTTAGTCCAATTTAGCGGCGGGACAACGATCCCGGACTAAGGTGGAACCTTGATCCCGGGTCATCGAGCCAGACTAAAGAGGACCTTTAGTCCCGGTTGGTGTTACCAACCGGGACTAAAAACCCTCAACCGAAAGCAAGCGTGGCGCACCCTTTAGTCCCGGTTGGTAACCCTAACCGGGACTAAAGGTTCCTTTCTTTTTTTTTTTTTTTTGTATAATTTGTTTTCAGTTCAGTTACACATATTTGTTTAATATATAATATGTTTTTTTATATACGTATTCTACGTTGCTAATATAAATACACGACGCATATAATTACATCTAATTCTCATCTCGAGCATTATTATATTCGAATAAAGTATGAAACTATATATATCATAGATATATATGTATATATACAACACTTTCATAATCTTGTTCTAAAAATAACGATATCAATAAACATTTAATTTACATCATTTATTCCTTAGGATCAAAGTAGAACTCGCCGTTGGGATTTAGCACTTTTTCTAGAAGAAATCTGCTATTGACTCTTGAACTTGCTTTTAGATGGTCTTTTTGCATGACCCTTTGTTTCAACCATTAGGTCTTGCATTTGAAATAAAAACGAAAAGTATTAATACATATATATATTCATTTAAAAATAAATAAAAATTGATATATACATTACTCGAGGACATCTTTAGGAGTTCTTCTTTATATGCGTAGTGATAAATTCACAAACGTAGTATCCACACAAGTTATTACCTGGTTGCTGCCGCAAACACCACTATACGAGAAGAAGATTATTCTCATCATCTCACACGTAAATTGAAGTATGATATAGTAATTAAACACGTGGGGAAGTATATATAGTACAACTTACTGGTATTTCAACTACATTAAGTGGTGCCTTGCAATCCTTGCGATGTTGCCGAATAAACTCCTTCCAAACCCAATGCGACCAATAATGTACGATCGTTAATAAATTATGGCAAAGTCTATTCAATAATAGTTGTTGCAGAGAGAGATCGAAATTACCCTGGATAATGTCTATCATATCTTGGTATAGTGCCCGCTCTTTTCTCAACGAGTCAAAGATTACTAACCGACTTGAGTTTAACTCAATGACAATGAGTATCCGAAGTGAAACTGCATTGGTTTATACACACGTACATGCATATAAGTTGTATTGATATTACATAAAATGTGTAGACTACATTATTATTAACACTTACTCAAAGTTGTATGGGAAAAGTATTGTTGTCTTGTCGTCTTTGCTTCACGAAGAACATCATGATATTCTCATGTGCTTCAGATACCCACCGCTCTTTGACAATAATATCTTTGGTTTTGAATACGATATAAGGATCAATGAAGCCAACACTGGTGTCTTGTATTCTTTGGAGCTCTGACATCTGAAATCTGTATATAAATATAAGTTACATGTGAGGATAATTATATACACGCACGCATGGAAGTGAGTTTATTAAATAAAAGTAAGAATCACTTACAAACAAAAGAAGCTAATGATTGATTTGTCCAGGCGTCCATGTGGTATAGTTGATGCAATTCTTGAAACTAATATGTAAGATGTCATCGCCATACGGAAGTAATGATGGTCTCTAAATCGACAAAGATCCACCGCTGCTCACCCGCCACATGCCCGCATGTACCACTTGTTGAGCAAGTACATTTGCGTACCTAATTCATTCAGAGCTTGAGGTTGCACAGACTTTTGCCATATTTATAA